TTCCTTCCTTCCTTCCTTCCTTCCTTCCTTCCTTCCTTCCTTGCTTCCTTCTTTCCCTCCCTCCCTTCCTGCCTCCCTCCCAGCCAACAGACATTGCTACAAAACTAGCTGGTGCTATAGTAGAGCCACTCCTTCCCCTGTCCTTGTTTAGCAAGGAGAGACCAGCCCGTTTGCCCAAGGGCCATGTCGTGCCTCGCACAAGGCCAGATTTGCTCTGTCTCGTTGAGGCGAGGCCTTTTGAAAGTTTGATTGCCCTCTCCAACTTTGTTCCTTCCCAAACTCAGTTGATTAATAATCAGCAAACTGTTCTGTGGGTGCTCAGAAAATCAAAGCCCAGATCCTTGAGAGGCCCTGAGGAGAGCTGGAGAAGGGTGGGGGTGGGTGGGCGAGGGGTGGGGGAGTGTCGGTCCGAGATGTACAGCTGATTCTGGAAGGGCACAGCCTCAGCGTCACGCAGGCCAGCTCAGAGCCTCTTCTGTCCCCTCGGAGTCTCGTGAATGTTAGGCTCCATTTAAGGGGAGTGGTGGGGAGGGGATGATTGCTCAGGTGGGTGGATTGCCCCTGGTCGGGGCTGACCCCCTGGGACTGTGGATGCGTCTGCTTAGCTCCCTGTTGCTCCCATGGACTGAGGCCTCATTTCTGGGGTGAGAAGTACGACTTGCTTGTGGGGGAGAGCAAGGGTAGGGTTGTGGCCAGGCCCCTTGAACTGGACAAACACGCGGGGCTTGTACATACTGTGAGAACTCATGTCTGTTTTATTTCGGGAAGGGGGGCCATGTACCCACCTCGCAGGGCTGTTGTGAGGACCCATGTAACTATGATTTTGAACTGTGATTCCTACAGGGTGGGATGCGTGCCCCAGGGGGTGGAAAGGGTATGGATGCCCAGGCAGCCTGACTGACCCAAGCAACTTCAGGGGAAAATGTAGTTCTAAAGAAGGAAGTGTACCTCGAGGGGCTATTTTAAGATGACATGTGAATTGTCATCTTGGAAGGGACATTCATATTGGGGTAGGAGCACTTTTTTGGGGGGGATGCCCTTGGGCCGCCCCCCGGGGTACGCATTCATGCTCTACCCTGTAGCAGTATGCTTAGTGGGGCCTCCTGATTGTGGTGTAGTGTCTGGCACTGCCTGGCCTGTGGGTGGCACTTAACACATGTCAACAAATGCCCTCTCCTGAAAACATTTGGCTCCAGTGGCAAAGATGCTGCACATCCCCTTCCCAATCTCCTCTCTCCCTGTGAGAACAACTGGGCATTGAATGCTGCCAGTTGCTTTGGTGCCTAGCACAGTGCCTGGCCAGTGGTAGGCGCTCATCTTCCTTTTCTGTTGGATGGTAGGATGGATGGATGATTGGATG